AATATGTATTTTTATTACCACCATCATTATTATTATCTTAATATCATCAATAATAAAAATAGCTATTACCATTTATTAAATACTTACTCAGTGCTCAACTCTTTAGTAAACCTTTTTTACCCGCCTATGAGCTTCTGAGAACGGTTACCCAGGCTCAGAGAGGTTAAGGAACTCACCTAAGGTCACCCAGCCAGGAAGTGGTGGTGCTGGGTCTCGGACTCTGGTTGGACTTCATAGCCACTGTACTAAGGGTTGTGGAGCTGTGAGAGCCCCAAGAATTCTTCTCTGGAGGTCAGGGAAGGCTTCATAGAGGAAGCGGCCTCTCATGGGGCTCAGAGGAGTTCAGCACAGGGGAATGGAATTGCAGGCAGAGGGAATAGCACAGATGTAGGCTGGAGCCATGGCCCTGCATGGTAGGTTTGGGGACGGTGAGTTCCAGGATGCTGGGGCACTAGGACCTGGCAGGGAGGTGTGGCTCAAAGAGCCTTGAGCACTAAGCCCAGGAGGGGTGTAGGGCTCTGGGTCAAGCAAGGGGCTTGAAGCAGACTCAGCGTCCAGTGCTGCTTCTGGCAGCTTCCTGGTTTGGAGCCTTTCTAATTCAGCAACTCAGCCCTGTTCAACCCACCCAGAATGAGTAACTGTCAGAGCTGGGAGCCATCACTCAGGATGACAACGATTCCTGTCCCCTTCCTGCAGGCTCCTCCAGTAGGCAGTTTGTCCTCAGGGGTGGTCTCCTGCCTCGCAGGGCAGCCTTGATCCAGAGTCTGAGACGGCTAGGTAGCCTTTTAAATGTCGATGATTCTTTTGAAGCGGTGGGAGGTGAGTGATGGGGCCAGATAGGTGTTGGACCAGTCCTGCTGTCTTGCGATAGGCCCTGCATTGGATTGTCTGGCACCTCTCAACTTTGGTGCTCCAGCAAGAATTCTGGGGGCAACAGCAGAAGTCCCACCCACTGCAGGGGAGGGCTGAGGGCCAGCCCTCCTGCCCACCCACCCCGCCATGGCGCTGTCTCCATAGGTTACAGTGAAGCAGAGGAGCCAGAGGCGGCCCTGGTGGAGGCCATGGTGGAGCACTACGGCAAGCTCTTTACAGTCAACCAGGACGCCGAGAAGCACCTGGAGGCCTTCTCCGAGATGAGCCAGGCCGCCCACCAGAGCCTGGAGTCTCTAGAAGAGAGCCATAGAGCTCTTATCCCGGTAACAGCTGCCGGCAGCCTGGCTCTTTCCCCTAGGTCCAGAGAACTGGGGGCATAGGTGCCCCCTTCCCTCTGTACCCCTGGGAAAGGCCTGGAGCCGTGGTAGGCTGCTGAGAGCGTCTGGGGGAGGCTGTCACTCCAGAACCTTGTTCTGTATCCCTTCCTCTCCCTTTCTGCTGGAACTCGGGGCTTCTCCTGAGGTTCAACTTATGCTTAAAAGGTGCTCTTTGTGGTAGAAAAGCCGTGAGTTCTGGATTCAGACAGACTGGGGTTAAAATTCCACCTCCGCCTCTGACTAGATGCACGGCCCTGGGCAGTTTGTACCCTCTCTGAACCTCAGTTTCTTCATCAAATGGGGGCGATGCAACCTAGATGCTAAGTTGTTGAGAGACACCAGACTCAAACTACGTCAAAGTGAGTGCCCCCCCGCAAGAAGTCATCTCTCTCTCTCTTTCCTTTTTGGTTAATCTTGTAATAAATAGAACTTACACCAGGAAAGATAGGCGTTGCAGGCAGCAGAGACTGTTCTGGGAAAGGCCTGGCATGAAAAAGTTGGCAAAGGGGACACCAGGCAAGGAAGGCTGATAGGTTGGTTGATTCTTGCAAAGGACGGTTGCATGATGTTTGCAGTGAGTCTCTTCCCCCTAGTGGCAGAACCGAAGACCTACACCATTTTGTACCTTTTTTCCTTAAGAGAACTCAGACCCTTCAGGGCTGGGGCACCATGATAAGCATTTTACATTTAAACCTCACCCCAGCCCCTCTAGGTAGGTGCTTCTATTTTTAAGGCTGAGGATAGGGGAAGTGAGTGAGGTGAATGTGCAAGTTCAGGGTTAGATCCTGTCTTTATTTAAATTTGAACATTTTGTTCATCACGGATTTTTTTTGGCATTAACTTTGATTTTTATAAAACATTGCGTTAAAATACGATTTATCTTAATCACTGAGTTTTTTTGATGCCCCCTTAAATTCTACATCTGAGTTCCAGCCATGCTGTTCTTCTTGTTTCTGTGGGGAAGAAACTAAGGCTCAGAGAAGTGAGGTCACTCGGGTATGTCCTGTGTCGTCTGAACACACCCCACGGGGCCCAGAGGTGGGAGTGGACGCTCAGGACAGCCCTGTGCCCCCTCGGGCCTGCACCATAGAAGGCCATACACAACCTCGTTACCCTGTGTCCTCCCATAGTCCTAGAGGTCAGAAGGACACAGACTGGCGGTTCTGGTTCTGGTGAGAAAAACGAGGCTCCAGGAGCTGAGTCGGGGCTCAAACCCTAGTCAGCCTGGACATGCCCTCTTCTGCATCTCCTGGTGCTTTGAACAGTCCCGACCTCCCAGAACTTGCTCCTCTCCCCACCCCATCACCACGCAGACCATGGTGGGCAGCGACCCCTCTGGCCCCTGGTGGGCTTGCTGCACCGAAGTAACCTAGCCCTTCTCACCTCAGAGCCTCAAGGTCCGGCTGAGTCAGCTGCAGAGGAAGTGTCACCACAGGCAGGAGCAGCGATGGCAGTTGGAAAACGACGTCACTTACCAGAAAGACATGAGAGGCTGTATTGTGAGACCATTCTGCTGGCCCAGGGGTGGGGGCAGGGGCTGGGAGCTGCTGTCCCCTCACCTCCCAACACACACACACACACACGCACACACATACACGCACAGTGTATATACTCATACAGACATTCCAATGTGCTCCCTGCAACCCCAATAATACACACGGAACACACGCTGACACACCAGCAAACACATGCACCAAGATGCACACAGATGTGGTTACACATTTACACACGTGTGACAGTGGGAGGGGCATTTCAGTCCCTGAGGAGCTCTGTGCAGGGTCTTCAGACTCGGTCAAGTCCACGGAGCTTCCCCTTCTCGCTTCCCCCACCAGGACATATCCCCTCTCAGTCATGATGCTGATGCTGCAGTATCAGAGGATATGTGATCAGATTGGCTTCCGCTGACAACAGAGCATATCTTTTATTTTTAATTTTAATAATTTTATTCACCCTTTTTAAGAGCACACTTCAATGTTTCCGGTATAGAATTGCACAACCATCATTAGCACCTAATTCTTGAACATTTTCAGCATCGGCCCCAATCCCCCCACTCTCCGCCAAATACAGTTTAGATCTGGCTTCTTCCCATAATGTCTTTAAGTTTCATCCATATGGTAGCACAAATCAATACTTCGTTCCTTTAAATGATTGAATAATATTCCACTGTTTGGATAGATCACATTTTGAGTTGTTACTGCTTTTTGGCTATTATGAATAATGCTTCTCTGTATATTCATGCACATGTTTTTCTGTGGGCATATCTTTTTAATTATCTTGGGTATACACTTAGCGGAATTTCTGAGTCTTGTGGTGAGGAAGTGCCAAACTGTTATCCAAAATGGCTACATAATTTTACAATCTATGATCAGTGTATGAGGCTTCTAGTTTCCCCATATCCTTGCCAACACTTGATACTGTCTGTCTTTGTAATTTAGCCACCCTAGTGGGTATGAAGTGGTATCTCATGTGGTTTTGATTTGCATTTTCCTGATGACTAATAATGTGGAGTATCTTTTCATGTGTTTATTGGCTATTTCTATATCTTTTTTGGATAAATGTTTGTTTAGATCTCTAGCCCATTTTTTAATTGGACTGTTTGTCTTTTATCGTTGAGTTGCTAGAATTCTCTGTATATTTTGGATACAAGTCCCTTATCAAATATATAATTTGAAAATATTTCTCCCCCCCGCCAAAAAGAAAACATTTTCTCCCATTCTATGGGTTGTTTCTTCATGTAGATGATAGCACAAAAGTTGTTAACTTTTACAAAATCCAATTTAGCTATTATTTCTTCAGTTACTTGTGCTTTAGTCATCGCACCTAAGAAAATATTGCCTACCTAATCCATGGTCGTGAAGATTTATACCTACTTTCTTGTAAGAATTTTGTCGTTGTTGCTCTAATATTTAGGCTTATGATCCATTATTAGTTAATTTTTGTATATGGTCTAAGACGAGGGTCCGATTTCATTCTTTCACATTAAGATGTTTCGTTGTCCTGATACCATTTGTTGAAAAACCTACCCTTTTCCCCGTTGAATTGTCTCCTCATCCTTGTCAAAAATCAATTGGCTGTAAATGCGAAGTTTTATTTCTGGACTCTCAGTTCTGCCCCGTCGATCTGGATGTCTATCTTCATTTACAAGGACACTGTCATACTACTGTAGCTTCGTAGTAAGTTTTGAAAGTGTGAGTCCTACAGCCTTGGCCTTTCTTTTTGAGGTCGTTTGACTCTTCAAACAGGCATGTGTTGAGTTGTGAGTGGATGTTTGGTGGCTGGGTGAGTTTCAGGCATGGTGGGACCTGAGGCTCAGTGGCACCATCGAGGACCTGGCCTTCCCGCCCTTTCCTGCCTGCCATCTGCAGTATCGGCTTTATCCTAGGTCACAATTTGCTTTCTGTACTTGAGGCAGGTTCAATGGAAATATTCAAACAGGGTCCTTAGCTCCTCTGGAATACCGAAGGGCAAATCCCTTCTCTAGTGTTGTCCAGTAGCGACAGTCAACAGGCAGCAAGCCTGTGTCCGAGCTGAGAAGGACTTCTCACAAGAATTTCCCAGGCAGTATCAAGGCCACTCCGTGGCACAGCTCAGAGGCACCATTCATGTTGAAGGCCACGTAACTGGCATTCCCTGGGGCTTTACTCCTTCAGGTTGTGATATAAATGATGTAGTTTTGCATAAGGGCACATTTGTCTAAGTAGTCACAGTTGCGTTAATTACATCTTCTTCCTAAGAAAAAGGAAGAATTTACACAATGATATCAGGGTCCCAATGATCTCCCGTAACAATCACTCAAACTAGATTTAGAGTTATTTGCATGTGCTCAGCATCGTGCTAGGTAAAGTGACGGACGAAGGAGGAGATAAAGGGTCCCCTGATCCTCAAGAAATTAATGACTTTCAGAGAGGGAGGCTAGGGGCGGTCAGGATGGGTTTCATGGAGGAAGCAGTGAGAAGAGGCAGACAGCCACACTTAAGAAGTCACGAGGATCTAGACTCCGAGTCATTCAGAATTGCCACCACTGGGCTGTGCAGCTTCAGACAAGTCACTTAGGTTCTCAGAACCTAGATATGTTCATTTGCCAATAGTCGTTGATACCACATCTTTTTCAGGGCCCTTGTGAAAGCTACAGGAGATGCAGGTAAATTTCGATGGTGCTTCGGTCCCTGCAAAGTGGTGTCCGGGATCTAAAGCACTGTCAGGTGAGAGACTTTTTTCCCTTCCCAGGAATTTATGTTCGACAAAATGGAGACTGTGAAATTTATCTCGCCGCTCATGGAACCCAGAGTATGCTGGTCAGGTGACAGCCTCAAAGACCAGGGATTCAGAAGGTGCACCGGATCCTTCGGGAAATGTCCAAGGAGTCAAGGTTTGATCCCCAGGACCCCTTTTCCCAGTGTCCAGACTTCAGAGTGCTCCAGCCTGTACTGACCCGGCTGGCGGCCACATAGGCCCTGCCAGCATCATGACCATCTCCTTACCTGCTTGGCCTCCTTGTCTCGGCACCAGCTCCCCCGAGAGGGCGGGAGCCGGCCTAGGGGCAGTGAGAGGGCAGGCAGGGTCCTGGAGCCAGCTGGGTGGGTGGTGCTGTTCCCCATATTGGTGGATTGTTAGGGATTAAGAAGAGGCCTGCTTGGGACCACGAGGGAGAGAGATGAGGGTTCCCGGGTTGGAGGCAGCAGCCAGGTGGGAAGTCCCAGGCTGGAGACCTGCAACCAGCATCTGGGGCTGCCTTTCTGTCATGGGTGGGTTCATCTGAGAATGAGGAGCTTTGGATGGATGCCTGGTTATGGGACTGTCTGAGTCACAGAAACTCTCGGAAAGAGCCACCCAGAGCTGCAGGATGCATGGGAGCTCACCTTGCACACAGCAGACTGCGGAGCGCAGCAGACTGTGGATAATGAATTTGTGGGAAGTGTCTCCTCACTGGTTCCCAGAAGCTGGATGCCAAGTCAGTGCCTTCCGCCCACCTGAGGGTCCTAGAGTTGCCTGGAATGAATGCTACTTTTAGGGACACCTTGCCAAGGCAAAGCCCCTCTCCAGTGCTTTTCCACTTATAAATTGGGCGAGAGTGTCTAAGGGAGTCCTTTCTCGAGACTGACATTCTAGGTCAAGGTTAGAAAAAGCTGGTCTGCATGGAAGTCACTGGTTTGGTTTTATTGTGTCACTGGGATGTCATCCTGACAACTACCGCCTCCTGAAAAGAATTCACCTCTGGAGGTCCGCTGATGTTAATTGGCTTGATAAAAGTTGAAAGTTAAGAGCAATTGTTGAGCTGTGAACAGTGATGAGTCAGCAAATTAACTTTTAAAGGGTGTTTCAGAAAAGATGCTGCTATTTAGTCAACGGACATCGAGGGTCTGCTGTATTCCAGGTGCTATTGGGAGGCGGGAATGGGAGGCTCAGAGGGAGAGTGGGTGGGGTGGTCGAGTAGGACTTGGCCACTGAACTAATTAAGGGAGCTAAATACAATAACGATGGCTGAGTGTGGTCAGGTCTTGAGAGCAGTTTAAACAAAGGGGGGTCTAAGGAGGGAGCATCGCTTTGAATTTCTGGTCTCACGGGCCTCTGGAACGAAGAGGACATCTCAGGTAGGGCTTGAGTCAGATTTCAGAAGGAGGAGGTTTGCGGAGGGCTGAAGAAAGTGAAGGAAACACAGAGGTGGGGACTTCCAGTTTGACTGCAGCACGAAGAACCTGGCGGGCAGTGTGAGAAGGTGGGCAGGGCAACCATCGCGGCATCCTAAAGGCCAGGCTGCGAGGTTTGGACTTCAGTCCAAAGGCCACTGTCCAGAGGCTAAGTATACAGTATTATAATAGTATTGTAACAGAGTACTATAGACTCAGTGGCTTAAACAGCAGACATTTATTTCTCACAGTTCTGAAGGCTAGGAGTTCAAGATCAAGGCACCAGCCGGTCCAGGGGCTGGTGAAAGCTGTCTTCCTGGTTCAGAAATGACTGCCCTCTTGCTATGTCTTTACATGGTAGAAGGGAAGAGGGAGCTCTCTGGGGTCACTTTTGGAAGGCACTAATCCCATTCATGAGGCCAGAGCCCCCACCGTCACATTGAGGGTCAGGGCTTTCAACATACGATGGGGGCGGGGCAGCGGTGTGAATGTTCAGTCCATCGTGGAAACCCTCTCACATTCAGACCTCCCCGCAACATCCACTTTTCAAAGAGATCTGAAGTATCTCGTCATCCTCCCTGTGATATGGGCACGTTAGGCCAACGATTCTTCGATTTGAACATTCATCAGGAAGCCTTAATGCAATGGAGTGTGGCCCTACCCCCAGAGCTTCTGACCCAGCGGGTCTGGGGTAGTAAGGCCTTAGAATTTGCATTTCTAATAAGTTCCCAGGTGACACTGATGCCACCGGTCCCAGGGCCACACTTCAAGAACCACTGCTTTAGAGGCATGGCAAATCCTAAATGTCTTAGCTGGGGTCTACCCCATCTGGAGAGCCATCCCCTCCCGCCTGGACTCTAGTTCCCCATCTGCATGATAGGGCTGGACCTGGCATTCTGGGAGGGCTGCCCCATCCCATCTGAGAACTCTGCTTGGCTGTGTTGGCAGTGGTTGCCTCTGGATTGTAGGATTCTAATTTTTTATTTTTTCCTTATCCTTTTGCATATTTCCCAAAGTTTCTGCAATAAGCATGTTTAATTTTTATAACTAGAAAACATACTTTATTCAAAAATTGGAAAAATTAATTGGAAACCAACTCTTCTTGGCATCTCACAGATCCTGATCTTTGGCATCCCCAAGAACAAAGCTAAATATCAAGTCCTTCGCCCACAGGACTGTCTTCAAGTCTCTGAAGATGGGGTTCTTGGCCTCCTGCATATTATCTTTTCTCTTCAAGTTTGACAGCTCTAGTTTCTTGAATGTGGCGCCACACTCTAAATGGGTCTCTCTTTGTCTCTAGCCTTACAACATGGTGCCCCAGTTGGAGTTCCATTCTCTAAATAAGGAAATGGGCCAGACAGGGATGACAGGAACTGTCTGGAAGAGGCTTCCTTGCCATGGCCCTAGCTGTAAAGGCGCTGGGCATTCCAGCCTTGCTCCCAGCCCCTCATCCTGGGGGTCATGCCCTGCCCATCCCTGCTCTTAGCCCAGGAATGGCTGGGCTACTTCAAGGCTTGTGCTCCAAGGCTGTAAATGGGAACTTCTCGAATTCTTCAAACCCAAACTGCCTGGCCCCAGTATGTTCCTCGTTGCTCTTACTAGATGTCTCTAGAAGATGCTGCAAAGTTTCTGTGCCCTTTGGTGCCATAGCTCACTTGTCCCTGGCTGCCAGCTGCTCGGATGTCCGCACGATTCAGTGCTGTGTGAGACAATGCGTTCAGAATCTAGAGACTGAGTCCTGAGTCCACAGCTGCTCTCCAGCACTGTGGACGGGGACATGTGAGGGCAGGAGCTGTGCCTTCTTGGACTCTAACTCTCCGTGCCTGCTGTGGCCTGGCACAGAGCAGGTGTTCGGTTTTGGACGAGGGGGTGCGTGTGAGTGAATCCAGAGAATTAGGTTCCTGTTTGCTGTCTCCATGGTGAGAACTTCCCAGTGTGGTTCCGAATGCTGCCTACAGACCACTGTACTGCACCAAGCCCTCCCCATAACCCATGGGCTAGAAAGTGTTGGTCTCCGAGCTTCGTATTACAGAGAGAGAAGCTGCAGCTCAGTGCAGTTATGTGGCTCATCCAAGGTCACATAGCTGCTCAGTGGTTGAACCAGGGACATTAACTCAAGTCCACTGGCCTTAAATGGAACAACTGTCACTGTAACTGGAAATGGTTTGGTGACAAAAAGAATAAGAGGTGATGTGCATTGGACACTTGCTGCATGCCAGGCACCTCGCTGAGCTCCTCACCACTTGTGCGGCCTTTATACCAACCCCACGAGAGTGACTGTCCCCATTGTACAGATGGGAAAATGGAGGCTCAGGTTAAAGGCTTGCCCAAGATTGCACAGCCCAGGAGCCAGGTCCCATGTCTGCCTCCTTTCAGAGTTGGTGCTACAGGTTGAAGGTAGCACAGGCAAGAATCATGAACTGGATGGCTCAAGTTCAAATATATATATAATGGTTCCCAGATGGAATCAAGGGACAGCGTGCTGCTGTAGATCCCTGCTACTCGGTGTGGTCCAGGGACCTGCATCATGGGAGCTAGTGAGAAAGGCAGAGTCCGCATTTTAATAAGACTCTTGCGGGGACCCGTGTGCATGGCGAAGTGCTGGTCTAATTTTGCTGAGGTAATAAGCTTGGCATCACCCTCAGGTGAGGGGGTGATTCCTGAGGATGAAACCAGCTCTCGGCTTCCAGGGGTTTCACCTCAGGGGCTGTGAACTGGGAGAAACGATGTCTCCAGCCAGCCAATTGGCCACCTGAGCTCCCGCTGAGAACTGTACATGGTCCTGAGTGTGCCTGGAGGGAGACGCCTTCTGCCCTGACTGTCCTTTCTCTACCTCTCCTGTTCCCAGCTACTTCCAGCCTCACCTCCTCCATGAAGACTCCCTGGCCTCCCCTGCCCCAGGAGGAGAGAGTAGGGCTCCTCTCTGGGCTTCCAGGCCCTCCTCCAAGATACTCAAGAGCACTTATCTTCTTGTAGACATCACTCAGTCATTTATTCTATAAGAATAAATGTTGAAAGTCTCTCAACAAGAGACTTTCTTAGTCACTTATCCCAGCACCCAGTGTGAGGTCTGGTACAGAGTAGACCCTCAGTAAGTATGTGCTAGATGAATGCATCCTTGAATCCTCAGAGTGAATGAGTGAATGAATGAATGAATGAAAGTTTTAAGCAAAGGAGTGAATCTCTAAGTGAAAATTTTAAGGAAGATGTAGAGACTGAAAGTGAAGGATATTTGGGGACTCAGCTACCACTTGGTCCTTGGGGTTATCCAAGGAAGGTGCCAAGGTGCCAAGGAATGCCTGATGCCATGCCACCTCCCAGGGTGCGCTGTCTCCCCCAGCAGCCACACAGGGTGAGCCCTGCTAAACCAGGCAAGAATTTACGAGTTCTCCAGGGGAATTCCTGGGGAAGAGCTCCCCTTCCCCTGTCTACAGCATCATAAATCATGGGAATGCAGCAGCCAGTTGCCCTGGGCAGCTGCCAAGACATGAGGGAGGAGGGGCCCTTGGGACAGCCAGCATCCCATGGAGCTGGGATGGCATCCATTTCTTAGGAGTCAGCAGAGCCTTGCTTTGGGGTGAGCGAAGCCTCATGGGCTTACAGGGCCCTTTCGAGCCTCTCAGACCTTGCTGGCCTTGATCACGTGGAGTTGGGATGAATGAGATGGGAACGGAATAGAAAAACAGAATGGGCCCGTGTGCGCATGCGTGTACACATACATATATGTTCACACAAACACATATACACATATAAGTGGCTGGATAGATTATCACCAACTCTGGAGGACATATTTGGGAAGATATG